TTGAGTGGTTTAGGAAGTAGATAAAGCAAGCTGCTGTTAAGGGGAATGATATAGAAATGTTAAAACATTACAAGACAATATAGAAAGCAACAACAGGCGTGCTGGTGATTAAAACAGTCAAAATTTACATTAAGTTAAAACTGCTCAGATTTTTGACAGAAGTATATGGCTGAACTTACAAATAGTTTCTCAAAAATCGATTGTATTGGTAGACTTAATTATTCAAAAGAAAAGCAACACATAAGAATTTTGGATTTTCTTGACGATAGCTGAAGATATTTCAATAGATTTCAGTTTCTTCAAAGGCATTCATACACTTCTACATCAAAGCTTAAAGACTCTGAGATATTATTAGCCCAACAATTAACAAAACTTCCATGATATTTTCTAGAAAAATGTGCCTAGTCCATAATTATTTTTTCAGTTAGAAAAAAAAAACCCTATGACATGAATGTTGATGCATGCAATTAATTGAAATTCAGTAATCTTTTAATAACTTAGATCTAACTAGTGCACAACTGCTCATTTGTGGTGGATAGTTATTTGGTAAATGCACAACTTTTTATTTATATAAAATTGTATAAATATTTTAGTAAGTTTTTACGATGTTCATCGAATAAACCACATATCAAAGAGAACCAGGGAAATGTTAGGAGAAAACAGATAGTATGCTTGAAGTCCACAGACCTGAAGTCTCTATCATCATAGAAGGACTCAATGGATAATGGAGCCATGGTATTTGCACTTAGAATTTCTTTGGTACGTTTGACCTGTTTCTTCAATTTAGCCATTGCTTTTGGAGACTTCCTCACATCAACCCCATTTCCAAGTTGTTTATTGAATTCATCTGCAAAGTACTCCACCAACCTCAATTCCATATTCTGACCACCAAGTTCTGAGTCCCATCTAACATCCTTAACCTGAAAAAATAGTCTACGATTAACTGCTAAGGTAATTGAGATGTCAAAGAAGTAAACATAAACAGCACTAGAAATCTAATAATGAATAAGGAGACAAAACCATGTACTTTTAGCCATTTAAGAACCATGTTGACAGTTTAAACCAGAACGTGGACAGGGCAAAGAGAACTAAACAGATATTTCAAGAAATGGAAATATCAAGGAAAATCATAGTCTTAGCTTTACCTGAAACTGGTTAACAGAAACAGTCTTTCCAAACTCCTTAGCATTATATGCAGAATAATACACAAGAGCTGCATAAGTGCTGCTGGAACCCATATCATAAAATATAACATGCCTTGATCCATTTGAGAAATCCTTATCAATCCCATACTGCAAGGCAGCACCTGAATGCTCATTTATCAAACAAAGAGCATTAATCCCTGCCAACCGTGCTGCCTGGAGCAACCCCTTTCTCTCTGCTTGTCCAAAGTAGGGTGGCACTGAAATCACTGCATCCTTAACAGGCACTTTTGAATGAAACTCAGCCAAATTCGCTGCATAACTCAAAATCATTGCCAGTAACTCCTCAATTGAATAACCTGTAACATTATCGTCAATTTTGAAACTGACGGCACCTCTAGAATCCTCTACGATATCAAATGGCAAGTACATGGAATCAATAAAACCCTTAACATGCTTATAGGGTTTCCCAACCATGTCCCTGAGCTGGGAATAGACTTTATCAGGATAACGAGCTACGATTCCTGCTGCTTCTTCACCGAGTAACCTAGTTCCAGACTGGAATGCCACCAAAGCTGGAGATTTCCGCTTGGACATCTCATTGATGGCTATTGTGATTGGGCTCTGCCCAGGTTTTAGGTTTACCACGGCAACTTTTAACGATTCCGAACCTAGATCTATGCTTGACACAGCAGCCTGAGACCGTACCGAAAACAAAAACAGCACAAATATAGATAAAACTAATCTGAACTGCCGAGTCATCATTCCAAATGGTACCGTCGATCGTCTCTGATGAACACAAAACAAGTAGATCAATAAGATTGCACAGATCATCAAATACTCCAACTGAAGAAGCATGAATTTTCAATTTTTTTCCAACAAAAATTAGAAAAAAAATTCAACTTATTCAGATGCCAGTAAGAAAGAATTTTCAAATTTCTTCCACTTTCTAAGATTTAGTTCATATAGGAAAGAATTCAACGAGAAAAATACTCATGCTGAAGAAACGAACACAGATCATCTATTTGCATCTCAAAATTCCAAGTTCCTAACGGAAAATGACGAATATTGTTCTAGCGATGGAAAATCACAACAATGCTTGTTTCACAAGGATACAATGAAAAAAAAAAAGAAACAGTTCAAAACAGAGAAAGAGAGTATTATTTAATAGAGTTGCAGAACTCACCGGAAAAACCAGAGTCACCTTGACGGCTGTCGATCGAAGTCAAGGAAAATCGAACGGCAATGCCAGTCCCAGACGACTTTTTATTCGTCGAAGCAATGCCAAATCGATCAACCAAAAAGAGAAATCTATGGAGAATGCTGGAGTTATTAGTTGAACAATCTGGAAACTGTCTCCTGTTTGGTTGCCCAGAAAATTCGCGAGAAGAGGAAGCACAGACCTTTCTGGGAAACGCTACAAGAGCCTGCTGCGAGCGAGTGAGAAACATTTATATTTTTCTAGAAATTAAAAAATAACCGATATCCACGTGGAAATTGCTAAGGAGGAGAACCAATAGGACGTTGCCATATTGCAAATTTTACACGTGGCGAGATCTTAGATGATGTGTGGTGTTGTGCTTACGGTCGTCAATGGATACTTTCTTAGGACTTCATGGGATTAGTCTTCCCCGTGTGACGCACGGCCACGGCAAGACTAATATATATATATATTTTTTTTTTCGGTCTCCTGGTAAGCTATTGCTTCGTATTTAGATTAATTTCTCCCCATTTTTAAGGTGCACTCCTAAGTTGATTGAGTACAGCAAATTGAAAATCTGACATTATTAATATATTATATTTATGATATTATGCGAATTGTAATTTTATAATTATAAATTATTAAAAAATAATAAATATATAAAATATTATAAATAAATTGTTAAATAAAACAAGTAAATTGTGTACTATAGTTATAATAAGGTGCACAATATCAAATCAAATTGATTGTAGCGAGCCAAAGCAATATTATCAGACAAAAATACAAATTAAAACTAATTTCAATTGATTAACAAGTTAACTAATTTAATAAAATGTGACCCTATGATCAAATGGCTTTAATCATTCTTGTCAGTTTCATATCTCCTCTTCAAGGGCAACGGTTCGAGTTGATTCATGACTAAATGTTAAAAAAAAAACTAATTTAATAACAATTTAATTTTAATAAAAATAAAAAATTTTAAATTTGAGTTATATTATATTAGGTGGAGTGAGGATGAAGGGATTGTCCACCCAAAATAAAAAAAAAAAAATTTTCAATTGAATTAAATTAGATAATAAAAAGTTAAGCTCCATTTATTATAACTTTATTTTAATTTATTGTCATAAAAATAATTTTAATAGATTAATTAATTAAATTAAAATTAAAATTTATAAGTTTTATATAAATTAATTGAAAATATAATAAATAGACGCTTATAATTCATTTAAGTTGAAAAAATAAAAAAGAAAGAAATTTTTTTTAATAAATTAAATTATTATATTTAAAAAATATTATAATTTAAATTATTAAAAAATTTTGCATACATTATAAAGAGCGATATTAGATTGGTTGGCATGTTTTAATTTTTTGGGCAAGTTTGGACAAACCCATCTAATATTTCAGGAAAAGAGGAAATTGAGTTTTGTCGGCCTATCATTCTAGGTAAAGAGGAAATTTAGTTATAGTCGATCCATTATGCATATTGGGCCCAAACCTTTTTTTGATTCATGGACCCAAATATTCTAATTTTAGTTAATTGATTAATTAAGGAGAAAGGAGAATTCAGTCCGGACTGACATCAGTCCATACATACAGATTTACTCTTTATTTTGGAGATACGTTACCTCCTTTTAAAATTGAAAAATTATTTTTATACCCTTCCCTATAAGAAGTGTAAACTTAATACACATGAAATTTCCCATTTTTTATAGAATTTTTCTAACATATATGAGTTCAGATTAAGAAAATAACTAATATATACTTTTATTAATATGTTATTGTTTACACCTAATTTTACAACAAATGGAGTGCTGCCACGTGTCACCCATGATGGCAGATATTTTATTAGTTTGAAGTTGGTGTGGATTTCTTCAGATGAGATTGAGTGGTTATTTCCACAACGGCAGCAAGACCGTTCTTTTGTTGCGAGTTTTCAGGAGGATAATCGCAGCACCAACAAATTAA